AGAAAAAAGCCAGAAGTGGCACTGTGGCTCAAGTGGTAGAGCTCTAGCCTTGAGCTGAAGAGCTGAGGGACAGTGCCCAGGCCCAGAGTTCAGGCCACACGACCGGACCCCCCCCCCAAAAAAAAATGGAGATGTGGTGCTATTGCTCAAGTGTGATAGAGCACTCGCTTTAAGCTGAAGAGTTGAGGAGCAGCGCCCAGGCTCAGAGTTCAAGCCCTATGACCAACAAAAAGAAAAAAAATGGTATGGTACCTACCTTAGATGGCTGGAGGGAGGACTGAAGTTATGTATAGAAAACTGTTTAGAAAATAGTCAAATGAAGCCGGGCGCTGGTGGCTCACGCCTGTAATCCTAGCTACTCAGGAGGCTGAGATCTGAGGATCACGGTTCAAAGCCAGCCCGGACAGGAAAGTCAGAGAGACTCTTCAATAAACCACCAACCAGAAAACCAGAAGTGGCGCTGTAGCTCAAGCAGTAGAGCGCTAGCCTTGAGCTGAAGAGCTCAGGGACAGCGCCCAAGCCCAGAGTTCAAGCCCCACAACCGAACAAAAAAAAAGAAAATAGTCAAATGATACTGTTAGAGGACAGACTATTCCTGAGAGGGAAAATTTTTTTTTCTTGGCATGTTGATGATCAAAGCCAGGGCTTCACTTTTTTTTTCTTTTTATCTGTCAGCCATGAAACTTGAATATGGAGTCTGGCACTATCCCTGAGCTTTTGTGCTTAAGATTAGCACTCTACCATTTTTTTGTTTTTTATTTTGGTAGGTTGTGGAGCTTGAACTCGGGGCTTGAGTGATGTCCCTGAGCTTTCTAGCATTCTACTTTGAGCCACAGCTCTGCTTCCTGTTTTCTGGTAGTTAAAAGGAGATTTAGAGTCTCATGGACTTTCTTGCCTGGGTTGGCTTTGAACTGTGATCCTTCGATCTCAGCCTCCTGAGTATCTAGGATTACAGGTGTGAGCCACAGGTAACCTGCTCACTCTACCGCTTTTTGTGCCACAGTTCCACTTCCTATTTTCTTTTTTTTTTCTTTCCTTTTTTTGGTCATAGGGCTTGAACTCAGCCTCGGTGCTGTCCCTCAAAGCTCAGGCTGGCTTTGAACCATGATCCTCAGATCTTAGCCTCCTTAGTTGCTAGGATTACAGGTGTGAGCCACCGGCACCTGTAAAACTGCCTATTCCCTAGTGGTTAACTGGAGATCAATCTAATGGACTTCCTGCCTGGGCTGGCTTCAAACTGTGATCCTCACTCAGCTCTCAGTCCTGAGTAGCTAGGATTATGGGTGTGACCAGTGACCAGCATCACACATGTTAAGCATGTACTTCACTAAGCTGCCTCCCCATTGATTCTTTGTTCTTTTGTTGTTGGTGGTGGTGCTGTCCCTGAGCTTTTCTTTTCTTTTTTTGCCAGTCCTGGGGCTTGAACTCAGGGCGTGGGCACTGTCCTGGGCTGCTTTTTTTTTTGCTCAAAGTTAGCACTCTCCCACTTGAGCCACAATACCACTTCCAGCTTTTTCTGTGTATGTGGTACTGAGGAATTGAACCCAGGGCTTCATGCATACTAGGCAAGCACTCTACCACTGAGCCACATTCCCAGCCCCTCTCTGAACTTTTGTTGCTCAAGGCTAGTAGTGTTCTACTACTTTCAGTCACAGTTTCACTTCTGGTTTTCTGGTAGCTAATTAGAGATAAGAGTCTCACAGACTTTCCTGCCCAAAATGGCTTTGAACCACAATGCTCAGATCTAAGCCTCCTGTGTAGCTAGAATTACAGGAGTAAGCCACCAGCAGCTGGCTCACTTCTTTGTTCTTATAATTAGAAAATAACCGCTGGAGCTGGGTGCTGGTGGTTCATGCCTGTAACCCTAGCTACTCAGGAGGCTATAATTTTCTTTTCAACATTTTTTATTATTATCTTTAAGTAGTTGTACAAAGAAGTTCCCATTCTACAAAACAGTATTATTATTTTTATTTGTTTATTTTTGTTGGTTGTGGGGCTTGAACTCTGGGCCTGGGCACTGTACCTCAGCTCTTAAGCTCAAGGTGAGAGCTATACCACTTGAGCCACAATGCCACTTCAGGTTTTCTGAGTGTTTTTTTTTTTTTTTTTCCTGAGTGGTTTATTGAAGGTAAGAGTCTCACAGACATTCCTGCCTGGGTTGGCTTTGGACAGGTTCCTCAGAGCTCAGCCTCCTGAGTAGCTAGGATTACAGGCATGAGCCACCAGCTCCTGGCTAATTTTCTTTAAATAAGAAAAACAGGATGGAGCTGGGAAAGTGTCTCAGTGGTAGAGTGCTTGCCTTGCATGTATGAGGCCCAGGGTTCTATTTCTCAGCCACACATAAGTAGAAAAAGCTGGAAGTGGCGCTGTGGCTCAAGTGGTAGAGTGCTAGCCTTGAGCTGAAGAGCTGAGGGACGGTGCCCAGACCCCATGACTGACAAAAAAAGAAAGAGAGAAAGAAAGAAAGGAAGGAAAGAAAGAAAGGAAGGAAGGGAGGAAGGAAGAAAGGGAAGAATGTGTGACCAATGATTGATCAGTAACTATTTTCCCTTTTTTTTTTTCTATATTTTTCTGTAAGTGGCACCAGGCTGTTACCATATTAAGACTATCT